CGCAAAACGTTGAAGATGACCAGAACTGCGCTGAGCGAGACGACAATCGGCCAGATAGTCAATTTGCTATCTAACGACATCAACAGATTCGAGGTCTATCTCGTATTTCTCCATTCTCTGTGGTTCGGACCTTTAGAGACCATTATCCTCACGTACGTAATGTACTACGTAATCGACATCGACGTATCGTCTATCATCGGTGTCGCTGCTCTGCTAATGTTCATCCCTTTATAAGGTAGAGAAAGTTACTGCTATGATCGTTGGTAGTAATGAAAGTAATCGGGGTACTAAGTTATAAATAACTTGTTATATATGTACATATATGTGTCATTTGCAAAGGTAAAAACATTTAAGTAAGAAGTAATTCTACTGACAATCCATCATTTTGCTTTATTTCAGTTGTCAATTTGGAAATTTTGATTTTCAATTAATTTTGATAAATATAAATTAATTGATAGTAGATTTTAATAAATAACATCTTGTAGCAAATAATTTATTTTAATGCATAATAATACAGATTAATGAATAATAACTTAGAAGTAATTAATTTCAAATTAACTTTGATTTGAAATATTAAGATTTTATTATTTCTAAATTCTAAATTAAGTTTCTAAATTTAAACTCTCTCTCTCTCTGTTAATCATCAAAGTTTGAAAATTCCATTTTCAATTTTCTAAATTTTTATTACATTCTTTTTCCTCGAATCACACATGTACACTGTTTAATTAATATCCTATTTGAAGAACGGTTCAAAATTTCTTTTAATTCTATTTCATGTTTTGTTTTCGAAATTTCTCAGTGTGGTTGGGCAAAAAATCATCGGAGTTGTGATCAAGGATCGCTATCAAAACTGATGAGAGAATGCGATTTACGAACGAGATCATCAGTGGAATTCAAGCTATCAAAATGTATACCTGGGAAAATCCGTTCAGCGCCCTTATAGAAAAAGCAAGGAAGTTAGTACCGCTGCATACACTGATTACGCATGCAATTCTCATATTGTTCATTGTACATTGAGTAACATGATAATTAAGGAAAATCATCTAGATCGAGACAAAAGTAATATTTTGAATTTAAAGTTCTATAACAATTAAAATATTAATACAATATTTACCTTAAAAGGGTTTACCTTTTTAATTGTAAAATATTTTTAATTACAAAATTTTCTTTGGTTCAATTTTGTAATATATAATAATTAAAAAAGAGCTAAATTATTTTACAACCTCAATATAACACTAATTGGACAATTAAAACACAAGATGATATTGCGACATAATATTACTGTCGATTTACATGTTATACACATTTATATGGATTGAGGCGTTTAATGCGTGACTTATACACTTTGATATTTATAGTTAGTCATTATATTATAACCAATGTATTCGTTTTTACGATCTTACAATTTAATTTATTTATTTCTTTATTTAATCCGTATATCTGAAATGTTATAGTGACGATCTGACAATTTAATTTATTTACTCCTTTGATTAATTCGTACATTGAAAATGACTCAAACGTAGTCGAAACGTCTGTTTGTTTGATTTTTGTATTTAAATTGTATTTAAATTGTTTATTACATATACATATATTATAATGGTTCTGTGCCCTTTATTATTGATATTGTAACGATGCACCCCCAATAATTGCATCGTCCCCGGCAATACTACCTCGCCGGATGCCGAAAAATATTAATACAATATTTACCTTAAAAGGGTTTACCTTTTTAATTGTAAAATATTTTTAATTACAAAATTTTCTTTGGTTCAATTTTGTAATATATAATAATTAGGAAAAAAATATGTTTATTTAAAAATTATGAATAAGAATTCTGCCGCGTCCCAAACGTTGAGATAATAATAACAGTAAAAGGGGATATTATATATAAATAAAATAATAGTTTCTATTAGGTTTTATCGACAAAAATTTATAATTATGTATATTTATCATATATTTAAAGTAACGATAATAAAGTTTACAAATACAAATAAGAGAAGAATGCATTTTCGGTCAAAATGCGTCTTAATGTTTAGTGTAATATTGATACTTGGGTTCGTAACTACTTGGTAGTTAAATCTAATTTGTCTATAAAACGTTATTTATTTTTTAATTTTGAAATTTAAATAGTCAGAACTTATTAATTCTCAATATTGAGACACGAATTCAATAAACTCTGTTTATACATTTTAGATCAGAAAAGATAAATACAATTTTGCAGAATAAAAAGTTAACACTACGGAATTCATTTGCAGAATGGAAATTAATATTATCCGGTGGGCGTCGTATATCAAGGGTGTCAGCACATCTTTCATCATTTTCACCACGAGAATATCATTGTTCATCACAGTGCTGGCTTATACACTGTTCGGCTACGAAATAACGGCTGAGAAGGTGTTCATGATATCCGCATGTTACAGCTGTTTATGCTTATCCATGTTTCTTCCGCAAGGTATGTGATAATTTCAGGAAAAGGCGATAATGTGTGATCCTTTTGTTTTATTTTTCTCTTATGTAATGTTTTACTTTATAGAATTAATGATATTGTTATAACGCTTAGACTGATCTAAGTTATTAAACACACAAGAAATGACTTTTTTTAAGCTAGCACTTTTCGCCGCAAAAAATAACACCATAATTAAATGATAGATATATGCTTCAGTCCTAATATTTCTGTGCTCGAAAAGGTTTAGCAGAAAATCGCAATTGAAAATGAAGATGCTGGCTTAAAGTTAAATTAGCATTCTCTTCATTAAATTATATATAAAATCCAAAAGTTAGTACAGTAAAACTAAATACTTTTTATACCACATCCAGAAGGGTTTTCAAGGGTCAATAATCATATCTGTCGTTAAATATGAGACAAATTATTCTATATTCTTATTTTTATTTATTTATCTATTTTGTCCGACTTAGGGATAAGAGGGGCAGCGGAAATGATTGTAACCGTAAAACGGCTAAAAAAGTTCTTGATGTGTGACGAATTGATATCTTCTAAGATCGAAACGAAGAAGAACAGCAAGGAGAACAACAAAGATGCGAAGAATAACAAGGAGAGCGTAAAAGAGAATAATAAAATAAACGCAAATCAGAAGGAGGAAAATGCAAAGGAAGATTTGACTGAACAAAATAAAAAGGACTACACCATCGTAGACCAGCCGAAGTGTGTCGAGTACAGCATTTCAATCAAGAATGGCAGCGCCAAGTGGCAGGACTATGAACGGGAAAACACCTTGCATAATATAAACATAAATGTGCGTCCTAATGAACTAATTGCTATTGTCGGCCAGGTCGGTGCGGGCAAGAGCAGCCTGATGAACGTCATCTTGAAAGAACTGCGTTTGCACAAAGGTTTTATTCAAGTACGTCGATAATTCGTCTTTAACAGTTATACCTAGTTTTTCATTTTCTGGTTAACTTGTGGTTAAGAGAACTTTCCGACTTAATTATTCCCCAATTTTTTTTACCTCGACAGAAGCCAAGGCCCAATTGATTATTTTATATACTTTTTTTTCACAGATTAACGACAAAATTGCCTATGCCAGTCAAGAACCGTGGCTGTTTGCCGGATCGGTGAGACAGAATATTTTATTTGGACGAAATATGGAGCAGGTTCGATACAATCATGTGATTGAAGTGTGTCAGTTAAAGAGAGATTTCAGTCTGCTGCCTTATGGTGATAAAACAATCATAGGCGAGAGAGGTATCAGTCTTTCCGGTGGCCAGCGGGCAAGGTCCGTTTCAGAGACATCCTAATAAGATGAAATTTGCAAAATTTTTCAAATTTTTTAATCTGTACATAATTAACAGAGATCCTCTTTTAGAATTAATAAATAATTAAAAATCATATAATTTTTAATCAGTATAGATGGATAGGTCAAACACAAGCTTATATTATTTATACTGATTATTATTGTTGTTGCAATTACGAGCTGTTAATAATTACATATGATTTTTATTTACTTTCTTCTTAACATTCTTCGTAACATTTAAGTTAATATTATATTTTAATTTGTTGATTATTAATTTATTTAATTTTTTATTTCTTCTGATTATTATAAAAATATTTTCTTTGCTTATTTATTTGATCTTTGAAATAAGCTATTCTCGATGAGATGAATATTAAAAAACGTATGTTTTATTAATGTTTACATTTGATATACGGAATAAGAATTTTTATTTTTAACATTGAAAAATAAATTTATATGTATACTTTAATTAAATATAATTAATGCGATTTAATTTAACTTTCGTTTTAATAAAATTAATTTTTGTTAAGAAAGCACACAAATTTCAATTAATTATTTTCGAAGTTTTTGTATTGTATATAAAATATAATTAGTTAGGAAAGACACACATTGGTTATAATATATATAATAATAATAATAATAATGAGATATGAATAAATGACAGAATAAACTTAGCGAGAGCCGTTTATGCCGACGCTGACATATACCTCATGGACGATCCTTTGAGCGCCGTAGATGCCCATGTGGGCAAGTGTATGTTTGAAAAATGCATCAACAAATATCTAGGAAACAAGACTCGGATTCTTGTGACTCATCAATTGCAATACTTACGCAACGTCGATAGAATTATTGTTTTGAAGAACGGAACTATTCAGGCTGAAGGGTAAGATTCTTTGGGCTTTTCGTTATTTTCGGTTGTTATAGTCTAAATATCCTTTCTTAGAAAAGCGTGTATTGTCGCGAAGGCAGTCGGTAATTATATGCGGAAGGCCCGGCGATTGTTTCGGATAGGATTAAGTACAAGAATATCGATCGGCACAATTATGTTAAACTCTTTGTTTAATGTAATTCAGACTATTCGTCTACACGTCCGATCTCTCCGAAGTTTCACAGCAGAGTCCCCTGTTCTCTCGCCGGAGTCTCGCATGACCCCCTGACTTATTTTTCTCGAATCTTCTAGAAGTCTTTTATTTCTATTGTTCTACATGCTTTTTGTTTATTCTCTTGTCTTTCCGACGCTGTTATTATTTCTGCTTTTAACGTTATTTTTAAATGATTTATAATCTAACTGTTTTCCTGAATTTTCGCTATCTGATACAATTTAATATATCACGGCTAATCGCTTACTCGACAGAGGCATTTAAATGCCTCAGCTGATTCGCTTCGCCTGTGCGTTTGTGTGCACAGTCAATATTGTTCTCGGCGTGCCTTACTTTCAATGCTACGCCTTTAAATTACTTGTCGTGGCGATATTTGACGCCACAAAATCTATTCCACTTTCTTTCTATTTCTCTTAATTTGTATCTTAGATATTATAATCTTGCTATAATTTCTATAATAAAGTAAAACATTGACATCCGTATATTTTTTACGTTTATTCATATATTTATTTTATTGCTTTGTCTTATCTTTACGATTAAAACCTTGATCCTTTACCACAAGGAGAGGAATGAAGGACGAATGAGAATATTATTTGTAGACCAAAAAAACGAAAAAGAACTTATTTTTATTAAAGTTCTCTTTATCAGTAGGTTACAGTATCTATATGACTCAGGTACACGTGCGAGAACATTTAATGGCCTTTAACGGAACTAATCACTTTGGGCTTATCTATCTGGTGATAAAGCAAAACGTTCTATTTTAAGTCCTTATATCAATCGTTTTCTAAACGTTAGGAATCATATATTGTCTCTTTGCAAAAAAAAACACAAATACTAATATTGACATGGAATATTTAAATGCACGTGTGCCCGCCTTGTAACGCCGTGTAACAAACCTTTTTTTATTTTCAAAAAATTCGCTTGGAAGTTGAAGCGAATATTTATATTAATATTCACTTCTA